GTTTGAATTTGTTCGACAACTAAAATATGAAGATCCAAATCTTCACATTGAATTTTCTCTTACCGGCGAAGTAGAAAATCAGTCATGTCAATCAGCTGTAATTTTAGCATTTGAATGTAATCGAAATTATGTTTTGGTATTTGCTAAACTTGACAAATTTCTCGAGCACATCAACAACTGTACGTCATTGGAAGATATTCAAGCAAAAGTGGAATCATCTGTTACTTTTGCCTATGCTGTCAGTTGTGGACAAGATGTCAAATGGCATCGAAATCTATCATTTGTTTATGTAGCTGCTTTTCAAGATTCAGTAATCAACCAAATTGAAGCACGTCTTTTGGGTGCAGGTTTAAAAGATATCAATTTTATATCAAAAAAAATGAAACAGGTCAATTTTGACGAACCGCGACAATGTCATACGAATGATGCTATTATTTGTTTCAAGTTTGATCGTCATCTCGGCTCTTTCCACAGAGTTCTGCCATTGCGGTTGGAGCTACTTGATCAATGGATTTTTAATGAAGACACCTCGACATTTACTGGACCCATTGTTACTTTATGCCCGAATATATCAACATATACAATAGATCGTTATTCACGTCTTACAGTACGAACAGATGTCGGTTCTGTGTATAATTTACTTTGTGATTCTATTTCAATACTTTTTCAATGGCGTGATTAACATGAATCAGACACCAATACTTGTTAACTCATTCGTCAATTTCTCCTAGCAATACTTCAAAGACTCACAACTCGTTTCACACCTTTCTTCTCCTTGTTTGATGAGAGCGTTTCGAAAAAACTACCCAGATCGAACGGCACAGACCAAATTGATCGACATGAGTATAGATTAAGATTTTTTTATTAATGAAATAAATTCATGGTTTTTTTATTTTGATTGTGTGTGTGATTCGAAAAGAGAAAACCTAAACACAATGAATTCATTTCAGTTAACATTATTAAACAACTGTTTATTTTGAATATTCAAATGTTTACTAAGTATGACATGTTTGTCGAAAATTCATCGTCTTCATCATCCACTAACTGCTTCCACAGCACCAAACTCTCATCTGCTGATCTCACGTGGCTTTCCTCCGACTCATCTGCAACCGGACCGCGAACAGCCAGCTCCTTTCGCTCCTTCCTCTCCTTCTTGTCAATGAATTTAGACGCATCTGAGTTCTTTCCTTCGAATAAAACTGATATACTATCAGCAATTGTTGAATGGCTGAAGACGAATCATCAACTTGTGACTGTGAAATCAATCCTTCAAGAATGGTCTACCTCAACTACACTCTCCAATCTTACTCGCGAATAATCGATCAAGCATGAAAATCGTAGCATTGAGCGAAATGGTTTCTCTCTCCTGCTCTACAACATCAGCAGTCTACGAATGCATCTCGAAGATCTTATCGACTACATTTCTGCCTCCTATCCGGACATCTGGGCACTCACTGGTCTTCACTTCAACGATGACGTCAACTATCAACTTGCTTCTCACTTCAAGTCTCGCTACACCATCTACTATCAACATGGTTCCAATAGCTTCGGTGGTATCTGTCTAGCTATCGCTCGAGAAGTTCCTCACCGAATCTTTTCCGAGTTCCATGATGTTAGTAACCTCATCGCTGCCGATGTATTCAACTCCAATAAAAAATACACAGTGGCTGTTGTCTATTCTCCACCATCGGAAGAAGTGCCGATTAATATTCTCAATCGATTGCATCAGTACAATCGAGATTTAATACTGATCGGTGATCTGAATGCGAGACATCCCAATTGGCATGATGTAACCAGCAATACATGTGGTCACCAACTAGCCGAGTGGATCGATGAAAAGCAGAATTTGAAAATCTTCAATTCGGCAAAGCCAACATTAACTCGATCTCGAGCTGCTATTGATCTCATCATCGCGCCTTCTCATGTCTCATCCGACTTAGCTGAAATCGATCAGAAAATGCGCGTATCCGATCATTATCCGGTGCATTGGCGCCCACTCTACATCTAGTATAGAGTATGTAAGTTTCAACTCATCTGGTTTGGTACTGAGGGAGCAAAGTCTGTATCAAAAATCATTAAAAACGCGGAAGAACGCCTTCTTTCGACCGGTTTTTGACCTATGCGCAGATGTTTAAATTTTTTTAAATAACATATTTGAAATCAGCGTCAAATTCTCTATCTAATGAGGTATGTCTCTTTCTATTTCTACTTTTCGCCCGTATGATTGACTTATCCATGGAATATCCATGGCTGTTGGTCATGTTCACTGTTTCTAACATTACGCGTAAGCCTTTGTTTCAAAGTGCACGCTACGCGAACTAAACTGAAAATACGCCTGATATGCGCTTTGTGCTTAATTTCAAAGCGCACATAGTACGGGAAGATAAATACTTTTTGAGTTTTATAATAATTTAAAGAAAAATAATAGTATTTCAAATATTATAATTTTTCAAATACTGTATTTGACCACTTGCTAGCGATTTATTTTTAGATGGAAAGTGAATGTGAAAAGATCGAAAATGCTGTTTAAAACACTCTTTTTTTTGTATTTGAGTTTGATTTTATTAAAACATTATATTGAATAACAATCTTTTTTTTTCGTTCTTGTTATAATAGGTATCAGAAACCCAGCATGTTTTATATTCTGAGCACAGACACGCAGACAACCATTCTGTCAGATCCTACACTGAAGCCAAGGGAAAATGTAATTTAGAGGAACTAGAAGAAGGCAGATCTTTTTGCTCTTCTAAAAGAATTACTATTCGTTATGATTTCTATACTCTGAGGAAGCAAACACCGCGATAATCGTTTTCTTTTTTGCGCTATCATTTGAAATGCTGTGGGTAAAAGAGAATAAAACCAAGAAATCTTAGAGCTTCCTAAAACTGTTTTTACGCACTGTAAACAAAGGAAAACTTCCTGAACTAGTTCGCCTCTCCTCCCTTACGTCCTTTAGGGATCGTTTCGTCAATTTACTGGGCTTTTTTTTTACATTTTGTAAGCTCGAGATTTTCAAGTCAATATATTTTAAGTTACTTGTTTCGTTGAAAAGAAAATGTATTGCAGCAAAGCCTTTTCTGGGCGTATTTTCAGTTTAGTTCGCGTAGCGTACACTTTGAAACAAAGGCTTACGCGTAGTGTTAGAAACAATGAACATGACCAACAGCCATGGATATTACATGTAAATATATTGAACTTTCAGCACCGATGATGAGGATGAGGTCACGGAAGTGGGTGGACGTTGAGCGTGAAGATGAAGGTAAACAGAAGAAGACTCTGATTCTTTGCCCTCACCCTCAAGCCACCATTAGCAATTGAATTACCCTCACATCCTCATCCTCAAGATAGCGTTTTGTTCCAGTTGACTTGTAGTACCTTCACGGAGTTTTCTTTCTTGTGAATGTTAATATCGTTATTTTTCTCGTCTGCTGTCTATCGTTGTACATATTTTCCATATAATGGGACATTGGATTTCCCGGCAAAATCAATTTCTTTGAAAACAAAATTGTTATCCACAGATACAGATGTATTTCGAGGTGTGAGTAGAAGTAGTTGAGGGAGAAGCCTTTTGGGAGTTCCCATGTCACTGAGCGTGGGACAGGCACCGATTCGGAATCGAGGGGGGGGGGGGGGGGGGACCGTTTTTTTTGTGGGCCCCCGGGGTGCCGGGGGCACCGGTTTTTTGGACGGTTTTTGGTTTTTTTGCCCCGGTTTGTTGGG